CATAATAAATCTACTCAAAATTAAGAGACATAGCCATGTTAATCTGGACCAGGGGTCGGCAACTTTTTTTTGCCAGGGGCTGGGAGGGTGGGGGAAATGGCGCTGGGGGCCGGCGTGCGTGCGCGTGCGCATAACGGCCACCACCATGCGCATGCACGCACACGGTGGGCGCCATTTTGGAACACCCAACGGCGCTGGCACCGTGTGAATTCACATGGCGCGGCGCTGTTGGGCCTTCCGAAATGGCACTCTGCATCGCGCACACATGAATATCACGAATACCGCGGGCCGCAGGTTGCCGACCCCTGGTCTGGACTATCCATATACAAAGGGTTCTTGTATCCCCTCTGAAACTACCAATAACTGTGTGAAAGAAGTTGTCGCATAAGCTTTTGTAGACTGTGGGCCTTTATAGACTGCCAGAAATAGTGCAGCTTGAGGCCACTTTAACTGTCCTGGCTCAGTACTAAGGAATCATGAGAACTGTCATTTATTGTGGCACCAGAGCCCTCTGACAGAGAAGGCTCAATGTCCCAGAAAAAAATGCAATTCCGATGACTCCCTAGCACTGAGCCAAGACAGTTAAAGTGGCCTCAAGCTGCATTATTTCTACCAGTCTGTAAAGGCCCTCAGTCTACTTCTTCAGATGCATGGAGTGAACTGTTGCCCAGGAAGGACCATTATAATCATACTATATGAACAGCTATAGAAATGCAAAATCTATGGGTATGGTGATGAGGTGACTTCAGGTTGTTAATCTGCCTTTCCAATTCTGGGGCATTTATGGTTGCCTGTGAGCTGTGGTGGGTGCTGGAGTGATAATTGTGTTCCCAGGGCTGCTCATCCTTGCCTTAACTCAAGAGTATTAACCTTTACAAGTGAAATAAATATGAATGAGCTTAAAAGCCAAGTTCTGGCAGAACAACCTATCCCAATTCAGAATTTCTTAAGAAGATATGAATGATTATCACTTGAATGCAAGTGATCAATAAACTGCTTTCTTTTTTATTAGGGCAGGGGTAGGCAACCTTTTTGAGCCGGGGGCCGGGTTGCTGTCCCTCAGACAATTGGGGGGGCCGAAACACCATAAACAAACAAATAAATAAATAAATAATTTAAAAAATAAAAAAACATTATTATGAAGCATTACTAACAGACAAATTCCCCAACTGGGTAATTACAAATTCTGCTAGCACTTTTAACAAACATTTGGGAAAGAACCCTGTTTCCTTATAGGTGTGTCCATAAGGACTACAAAACATGTTTAATAAAGATGGCCTAACATACTAATAGATGCATGAAATAGGAAATATTTCTCCTCCAACACATAGCTAAAACAATGCTTGTTCCTAGCATTTGCCAACGGGCACTTAAAGGTAAACTGTACCTAACAGGCCTGGATAGCATTGTTATTGTTGTTTTATGAGTGCCGATGCCACTCATAATGTTTGATGTTTTATGATGATGTTTTATGAGTGGTGTGAGTGCTGATGGATGCAGTGGATCAAGTGGTTAAGACACTGACTGTTGATTGCAAGATCGGGAGGTTGGCAGTTCAAGGCCTGGGTGTTGCATGGTGGGATGAGCTCCTGTCACTAGTCCCAGCTTCTGCCAACCTAGCAGTTCAAAAGCATGCAAATGCAAGTAGATAAATAGGTACAACTTCAGTGGGAAGGTAAACAGCGTTTTGTGCAACTGTGCTAGCCACATGTTCATAGAGTAGTCTCTGACAATGCTGGCTCTTCTGCTTAGGAATGGAGATGAGCACTGCCCCCTATGGTCAGATAGGCCTTGACAACCTTGTCAATGGGGAATACCTTTACCTTTTACTGAGTGCTGATGAGAGTGGCCAGCATAGGGAAATGAAAAGTAGGTGAGGCCAAATGCTGACAGTGCTTAGTGGCCAGACTACCAGCAGTCTTCCTCATTCTTTTCCTACTTCTGCTGGAACCCGAAGGTGACCACTGCTCTGGCCTGCCTTCCCTGCCCGTTAGCTGATCCTCACTGCCTTCTCCCATTTACTAATCTCTACCCTGGGCTGCTATTGGACTATCTACTTGCTCCCTGCCAGGATCAACCCTTGTTACAACAGAGAGCAGCCCTCCCCATCCAGGTACCCCCTATGGGCTCTTCACCTTCCCACTGTCTGGCCATAACAGCAGTGTGCCCCCCCCCCCGGCAGCAGCACTCCATACCCAAGGGGTTTCCATGGCTGAACAGGGAGCATTCGAACTCTGTTCTCCCAGAATCCTAGTCCAATGCTTGGAGCAGGATACCACATGGGCTCTCTGGGTTGGCCACTGCTGTGAGGCTTTCCTTATGGTGGGGAAGGCAGCACAGCAGCGGGGTACATTCGTTGCATGGCCCCTCTGAGGGAAACCCCAAGGAGGAGACCTTCAGCATGTTGGGGCAGGGTCTCTTATGTATCCAGAGAACTTCAGACCAAATGTGGCAGCTGCCCCCATTTCCTTGGTCCAGAGCCATGGAAAAATACGTCCAGTGTGGGTGCTATGTTACTACTATTGTCATTACTACTATCACCACTACTATCACCACTGATATATAGGAATTACCATTTATGAGTAACATTAGTTAAAAAAAACAAAACAAAAAAAAACATTACAGTGGGACCTTGGTATCCACTGGGGTTTGGTTCCAGGAACCCAATGGATACCAAAATCCACAATGATCAAGTCCTATTATATACAACGATGTAGTAAAATGATGTCCCTTATAAAGGTAAAGGTTTCCCCTTTGACATGATTGTAAGTTGTGTCCAACTGCAGGGGGCGGTGCTCATCTCCATTACTAAGCCAAGGGAGCCAGTGTTGTCAGACAGCTCTGTAGTCATGTGGCCAGCATGACTGCAAGAACACTGTTATCTTCCCACCAAAATGATACCTGTTTATCTGCTTGCACTTTTACATGCTTTCAAACTGCAGGTTAGACTGCAAGATGGCACCTGACCCACAGTCAACAGGTAATTTATATGCTGAACGTGTATCTGCCCTTTACTAGTTCCTAGTGGATAATACCATTTCATACTTTAATCACTAGATGGCACTGAGTGAAATTGGGGGGGGGGGGGGGTTAAGAGAGAAGAAAACTGCTCCAGACTTGAAAAACTACTGTTATGGAAGACAGTCCCAGAATCATTTATTCTGTGTTAAAGTTGTAGCATATATTTAATAATAAAGGTAAAGGTTTTCCCTTGACTTGACTGCCTAGTCATAACCGACTGCAGGGGACCATGATCATCACCATTACTAAGCTGAAGAGCCAGTATTATCAAAGACAATTCTGTGACCATGTGGCCAGTATAACTGCACAGAACGCTATTACCTTCCCACTGAAGTGGTACCTATTTATCTACTTGCACTTTTATATGCTTTTGAACTGCTATGTTGGCAGAAGCTAGGACTAGTGATGGGAGTTTATTCTGTCCCACAGCACTTGGGTTTCAAACTGCCAATCTTGTGATTGTCAGAGTTAGTATCTTAACTGCTAGACCACTGTGTCCTATAAAAGATGGTAAAATTCCTTTATACAAAATGGTAAAATCAAGTTTTGGGTTTTTTTGGATTTTTTTTTTAAAATCTATTTTCAAGCAGTGGATGGATGAATCTGTGAATATGGAGGGCCAACTATACTAAGAATTCTGTATGGCCTGGTACAGGAGGTGCTCCATGGGGGTGACACCATGAATTACTGTACTGGATGATACCAACCAACCCTAGTGACACCACTGGCTGGGCCTGTATGAAAACCACCTCATGGCTATGGAGTTTTAGCATGGGTTGGGAGTTAGTACACATAAGCTTTTCCAAATGCTGTTACCAGTATAGTATAACACCACTAGTAGCAGCTGCAAACCTGCAAAACAAAAGTCAAAAAAGTGTAATAATTCAAGGATAAAATCATCACAGAGAATTAAAGTATTTGTCATCCACAGTGCTACAAAGCAAATGCTAGGGGAAAGATGTGTTTCGAAACTGCAAACTTTCAATCTGTTTGCAGTATAAAAAATATATACATTCCCTTACATAATACTATTTCTAAATATCTGTTCAATTAAATGTCATCACACTTACCATGTGCATTTGATCAAAGGAGCGAATAGAAGCCAATCTGTCTACAAATAACAAAAATACACAAGTCTTTTGATAAACACTATGCAATTACAAATGTCTGTGTGCAATAACTGTCAACACTAAAAGAAAAAACTTAAGTCATACCGGTTGGGCTGCCACGAACTTGCTCCATCTTTCCTTGGAGAAGTCCAATCTGTCTTTCCAACTGTCTGTTCAATTCTATTTGTGTTTCATATCTGGTTTTCCATTCATTGTCTTAAAACAAAAAATAGGTACATGAATATTATTATTGTTAGTGGTGTTATGTATTGTCAAACTGGCTTAAGTTTATAGTGACCCTACAATTATTCTACTTTGATTCAAGTCAGAATTTCTAAAGCAGAGATGGAAAAGCTTTGTTTTCTAGATGTTTTGGACTAGTCTGAAAGGGCTCCAGAAGTTGAGGAGGACTCCTCCATACTGTGCTGTTCTTTGACTACCACATGGCAGCACTGGCAAGGAGTACTTTTTGACAGAGTTTAACAATGCTATGGCATTCTCTTATCCATCCACAGGTTTTTCCTAGCATCTCTCTATTTCTCCTATGACAAGTTTCTGGGGGTGTTCTTAGTCCCAGATGCAATGGAAAAGTTGGCTTGAACAAGTCCAGCCTGTGGCACAAAATTAGCTGAGTAAGCTTTCTCATAGCTATGTGACTCCAGGAATTAACTGCTTGGAGCCAGGAGCCAAGAGTCTTCCGCTCCTGATGACGAATCTTATAACAGGAAGCAAAGGAAAAGCAACAAGAGGTACAGTGGGCTCCTGGTATCTGCTGGGGTTTAGTTCCAGGACCTCATGGATACCTAAATTCATGGATGCCCAAGTCCCATTATATACATTATATATAGGGTAGTAAAATTGTGCCTGAGAGCCAGCATGACATAGTGGTTTGAGTGCTGGACTATGACTCTGGAGATCAGGGTTCAGTTCCCTGCTGGAGTATAAAAGTCCACTGGGTGACCTTGGGCAAGTCACACTCTCTCAGCCTCAGAGGATGGCAATGACCTATGAAAGGGTTGCCATCAGTCAAAAATGACTTTGAGGCACATAATAACAACAACAATAAAATTGTGCCCATTACATAAAATGGCAAAATCAAGGTTGACTTTTGGGATTTTTAAAAAACATTTCCAAGCCATGGATGTTTGAATCTGTGGATTCAGAATCCATGGATATGAGGTGCTGTCTGTACAACAAGACATATACTGAGTTATCCTTCTTTATCCTAATGAGGGGCTTTTGAAAAGTAACTTTCCAAACTGTGCTTGATCCATGCTTCAACATCAGGGCCTGAAGACTCTTGATAATGTAATTGACTACATAGAATCATTTGCATTTTATTTATAAGTCTAGATACACTCTCTTACCTTCATCCCCAACATTGGTGAGTCTTTTTTCCAGCTGCGCTACTGTATTTTTCATTTCAAACACTGACAGTTCTAGCATTTCTCTGCGTTACAAACAAAACAAGTAGTTACACAGTCACAACAGACATTAAAAATGTGATGCTCACAAACACATGCAAATGATCATTGCAATTCCAATATCTGGAGCTGGAATCCAGTAAGTGCATTCTGTTCATGTATCCACACACTCATTACAACTGCGACTTTAACACTGTCACATTTCTTCTGTATGATTTCTAACAACTTTGCCAGATGAAGAAGGCAGTGAAGCCTTGAAAGCTTGCATGATCTATTTTTGTGCATTTTGCTTGGCCAATATAGGTATCACTATTTTGTTGCTTTAGTTATCATTACAAAAGGGGTTGTACTTCTTCCAGAGTAGCACAGAGAAAGCAAAGACAGATGAAGTCACTGTTAGCAGGGAAAAGCCGCTGGTTTTGGCAGTCTATTTCTCCTATGACAAGTTTCTGGGAAGTCCTTGGACCCAGGAGCAATGGAAAAGTTGGCTTGAACAATAGTCCATCTTGTGACACAAAAATTGGCTGAGCAAGCTTTCCCAGAGCTCTGTGAGTCCAGGAATGAGCTGCTTGAATCCAGCAGCCTTCCTTTCCTGGTGACAACATTTTCTTCCACATTAACTACCACTACACACATGGGATAAGGTAGTTACGCAATGCGATATGCCCTTTTACATCAAACAATTATAGCTCTATGATTCCAATTTAATTGTCACAGCTGAATCCTATCAAATCTTGGTGAAGGCAGAATGATGAGGCAATAGAGCCCTCTGGCAGAGAGTCTAGGTAGTCCTCTCTAAATTCCAAATTCCAAGCTTCCACAGGTCAGAACCATGGACCTTATCCCATGCTGCTCTCAAAAGTGGCAAGAAAGCGATATGAGCATCATTGCAGTACTATAGCGCTAGTATAAATATGGCGCTAGCGCTACAATAGCGCTATGGATGCGCTCGCGCTATTGCAATGCCCGCTGAAACCAACATTCAAAAGAATGCGAATGATGTTGCATTCCGAGCGGTTTCTTGCTGGATTCTGAGCGACGTCGTGTAATCACACGGACAACTATAGCGCTATAGCGCCTGATTCTTAGCGGATTCTGAGCAACGTCGTGTAATCACACGGGAATGTATAGCGCTATAGCGCCTGATTCTTAGTGGATTCTTGCTGCTTTTGGCCCCGTATGATAAGGCCCCGTGTGATAATCATACTGCTATGATTGTATAGTGAGAAAGGGCTCAAGATCTCCGCCAAATTCTCCCCAATGCTGTTTCTGCAGGATTCTTTAAATATGTTTAAAAGCACAATTGAGCACTTCCCAAACACTCTAATTTGCAGAGCCTATAAAGCTGTGGAGCAGCTGTCAGCACAAACAACGTATTCCTGCCTCACCCAGTATTTTCTGGGAATGGACTTTCAAGTGCTAAGCTGAAGCAGACAGATGGTGATCTGAGTTCATGCTATTGAGCAATACCCACATTAGGACTTTGCAAGTCCCAAGATACTTGGATTATTGAGCTCTCACTCCTACTGAAACCATATGCACTTTTACTATCCTAGTATTTTAATTGATTATTCTTATATTATCATCCCCTTTTGGTTATAGGACTCGTATCACCCAATTTAAAATACAAGAATGAATGCATAGCAAAATACAGATTAACATAAAGTTAACAACATTTCCATAATTATGCATGGCTATTAAACATCTGATTCAATGTTTTATAGGGCGGTCTTCCATTGTTTTAGGCAATGATACAGCCCTGAATTTGACATCCTCTGAAAGCAAAGGAGCCAAGTAGCAGAAAATTAAAACTGTTCAACACCAGGGGCCATCCATATTATAAAATTATAGCACTATGATTCCACTTTAGCTGCCATGGTTCCATCCTATGGAATCCTAGAATTGGCAGTTTAGGGAGGGACATTTCTCAGTCAGAGAGCTCCAGTGCCTCACCAAACTACAAAGCCCAGGTTTCTTAAGGATGCAACCCTGGCAGTTAAATGGAATAACAGTGCTTTAATTGTGCAGTGTGAATGGCCCCAGGATTCAAATCACTGCTCAGCCATGGAAATTCAATGATAACAATGACAAACCTCCTTGCCAAGGATGTTTCACTTATCACCATAAGTCAAGAGCTGACTTGAAGGCACATAACAAGTGCTATTCTACGCAGCAGAACTTACTCCCAGATAAGTGTGCATTGGACTCCAAAATTAAGACACCTGATGTAATGGCTTGGAGCATGTGGAGGTTTATACCACATAAAGCTTGAAAGTCTTTGAGGCATCACAAGACTCCTTGTTGTTTTAGACTTCAGGTTTAAATTCCATCCAAAGACTAGTGAACAAAACAGTGCTTACTTTCAAGTAAGCTTGCACAAAGTTACACTGTTAGGCTCACCAGGTCTCAGGCAACCTGTTGTCCAGCCACATCTAATTACTTCATTTTGTCCAACAGGGCTGCTGTAAGGTTTATTGAGGTCATCTCTGATCTTGGTAGCTAAGCAAGGTCAGCCTTGGTTAGTACTTGGATGGGAGACCATCAATGAATACCAGGTGCTGTAGACTATATTTTAGAGGAAGGAACTGGCAAAACCACGCCTTGCCTAAGAAACCTTATGAAATTCATAAAGTCGCAATAAGCCAACAGGTGACTTGGAAGCACACACACACATGTACAAGGTTTACGGAAATAGTAGTGTGATGCTTTCTAATCACTAGTTAAATTATTATAGTGACATATAATAAAACCTATTCCAGTGTTTGTTCTTTATACAAATTGTTACACCAGAAAGATATTGGAAGAGAGGAGGGACAAAGTACATTTCAGATGGAAAAACTGCCTTTCCTTGAAGCACTGTATATACTCATGTATAAGTCTAGAAATATTAGTCAAAACATTGACCCCAAAAAACTGAGTCGACTTATCCACGTGTCAATGTAAGCACTGTACTTTAACTCTTATAAAAACAAAAAACACATCCCTTGATGTAAGGCAAAAGTGTAATCTATCCTGAAAGCACTGACCCTCCTTCTGCTCTCCTATCATCCAGCCTTTAGGGTGAGCACAAACAGTTATGCCTGCTGGAATTTTCTAAGTTCCTTGGCATTGTTTTTCTTTGCTTCATCCTTCAGAAATTATTTTGTTACATGTCCCTAAGGTCTACCCTCGACTTATCCACGGGTCATATCAAAATCCATTTTTGGTCCCAAAACCTGCCCTCAACTTATAGTCAAGTATAGTCAGCCCATCATTTTCACAGGGGATCCGTTCCGGACCCCCCCCCCCGCACAAAAACGGAGACTCGTCAATATTCGAGCTTCATCGGCTTGAATGGGGGCACACCCCATTGATTTTAACGAAGGTGAATATTCAAAATGGCGGACCTCAAGTCCATGAGAACTGATAGGTAATTGTATATACAGTAGGTCCAGAGGTCCAGCATGGGACCATTAAAAATACCTGTCCAGGTGACAACTGCTCCTCTGTGACCTCTGGCATCACCTGTTGTTGGCAAGAGAGACCCTGGAGTTCATTCTAAAGCCAAGGGTTTGGGCCTCTCTGCATCTTTCAGTCAGAAACCAAGTAAGGCATTTGAGAGGCAGCATGCTGCAGTGGTTATAAAGCTGGACTGGGACTTGGGAGATCCAGGGTCTAGTTTTTAATGAGCCATGAAACTAATGAAATTCATATTTTATCTCCTGGCCTTTGGAATGCTTTGTTCCCAGCTTGCCTCCACAGAACAATAACACAGTAACATCTTGAGAAATTGCAGGCCTGTGACTAACATCACCATTTTATAATTCCCCTCCATATATGATTTTGTTAACACCTTTGCCTGATGAAGAAGCCAGTGTAGCTTCAAAAGCTTGCATCATGTATTTTGTGCATTTTGGTTGGCCCAGTAAAGGTATCACTGTTTTGTGGATTTTGGATGTTATAGGTAGACCAGTTTACCGTCAGACAGTTGTCATCCTGTTGACCAGCTTTACCAGCAGGATGGGTTGGTTCACACGTGTGTTGATCACTCTAAGAGTAGGACATTAAGGGACTCTAAAATGAAACCAGTTCAAGTCTAGATGGGAGACGGATAAACCAGAACGTAATCCAGACATTCGCTTATGAATTCCAGCATCTGGGGCTGCATCCATACATGAAGAAATAATACAGGTTGACACTGTTTTAACTACCATGGTTCAATGCTAGGGGATTCTAGAGTCAGCCCACCACATCTGTGGCTTTGGCTTTGATTTTGACGGATTTGATTATTCACAGATTCAATTGATATGTTCTCTCTAGGAATCTTCAGGTCTTCCAGTGCAACTTTATGGTCAACATATGCCAGAATTTGACCATAAAACCATGCTAGAGGACCTACAAATGCCTAGACAAGTGTCTTCTCTAAGAACTTCTAGATTTTTCAGCACAACTCTATGGTCAACTTCTGGCAGAGCTGCATTGAAGGACCTAGAGATTCCTAGAGATTTATCAAATCCAAAAACAATCGGAAATAAAC